CAGTCTCTTATTGGGCCTCAGAAACTCACACCATGGGGCAAGGTGTTTTCCAATAGGGTGGGTCAACTGTCTTTCCCCCAGGCAAAGCCACCTGTACAGCAAATGTCTGTGTGAGGAAGATGGCCTCCATAGTGTGAGCAAATGAATCAGCATAGAAAACCAGGGTGTCTGCTTTCTGAGCTCTAACTCTAAAGCCCCCATCCTGGTTTCTGCTCACACAGCTCCAGTCCACTCCTCCCTCCCTCTGCCAGAGCACAATGTGGGTGGCTCCACAACTAGTTTTATGCATTGGCCCTTTAAGAGGATGACTGAATTTCCAGCCGTCTCTCCCTGGCAGACAGCAGCCTGCTGCTTTTCACAGCCAGATGTCATGTGGGTACCCTTCTCAGTTGTGGTGCTCTCTGCTGGGGGGCCCAGCTTGGGGATTAGACCCCAGAGTTCTTAGAAGCTCCCCCCACCCCCAGTTGAGATATCTCTCCAGGACTCAGCTGCTGTCTGTGGGCACCAGACCAGCCCTTTGGTGCCTCTGCCCCTCCTACCAGTCTCTATGCCGTCTCCACTTTCTGTTCTCAGTTATCAGGGTTCTCTCCTGTGAGTCTCCCGTTGGTTATTCAGGAAGTTTTTCTGTATTTTAGTTGTAATTCTAGTTTGGTCCTGGGCAGCATCCACTTGCTCCACCACCATTTTTAATCTTGAGTTGAGCGTTTTTAATCCACTCAGTCTATGTCTGTTTTCCTGGGTATATTTAACCCATTTACATTTAAGGTATTTTTTTTAATATCTTGGGGCTTAAATTTCTTATGTTATTTTTTGTTTTGTATTTGTTCTATTCTCTTTTTCCCCATCCCCCTATATTTCTTTAGGTCACATAGGCATTCCATTTTGGCTTATGTATAATGTTTATATATTTATTGATTGATTTCAGAGAAGAAAGGAAAGGGAGAGATAGAAACATCAATGATGAGAAATAATCATTGATCGACTGCCGCCTTCACGCCCCCTACTGGGGATCAAGTCCACAACCCCTGACCAGAATCAAACCCGGGACACTTCAGCCCACAGGCTGATGCTCTATCCACTGAGCCAAACCAGCTAGGGCCGTGTATAGTATTTTTGAGTGACTCTCTTGCTAATGTTTTCAGTGCTTGGTCTAGATATTACACTATCTACACATGAGCTCACTGGGGGTTTCATTTTACCAGTTTGAGTGGCATATGCTGGTAGGATGCGTACCTCCCTCGAGGACGCCTCCCTACTATTTGTTACAGTTGTTTTAATTATTTCCTCAGCATATTTTTGGAAGCACATCAGACAGTATTATTGCATTTGCTTCCACTGCCAAACAAAGTCTAGGAAACTCAAGGGAAACTGAACTGATTGCATTTCCTTTGTCTCCCGTGATCGCCTTTCCTTCCTCTCTCTGCTTAGACCTCTGCTCAGCGGTTCTTGCAGGGTGAGTCTGCTGGTGAAAAACAGAACTCTCATCCCCCCTCTGAGACCGTCTTGATTTGCTGTCATTCCTTAAAGACGTTTTCACCGGGTACCTGGATTGGCAGGTTCCCAGGGTTCTGGTGGGCAGCTCTTTCCTCAGCGCGGGGAACGTGCGTGGGCTTTCCCACGGCCTCTGAGGTTCTGATGAGAAGTCCTGTGTCATTGGAACCCTTCCCCGGTAGGAAGGTGCTGTGTTTCTCTGGATGCTGTAATCGTTTTACTTTGTGTTTAGTTTGCAGTAGGAGGGGATTTGGGTGTCTGCTTTTGGTGTGTCAGCTTCTGTAATCTTTGGGTTTATATCTCTTGCCCAAATGGAAAGGGTTCACCACCCCTTTTTTGAGTGTCTTCACCCTGTGAGTGCCCCCTTCTCCTCTCCATCTGGGACTCTGGCGGCAGGAACTGGGGCCTTTGGCTGTAGCCCCACGGTTTTCCCGGGCCATGTTCTCCCTTTGTGGGAACGGGGTGGTTTCTGTGTCTTCGTCTTGCAGCTCACAGACCCACCACTCCCCGTCCCACCGCCCTCCAATCACAGGCACCCACTCAGCTGTTCCTTTTCCCGTTACAACATCTGCATTTGGTTCTTATTTCATTTCTGTTTCTTTGCCGGGCTTCCTGTTCACTAGTCTCAGGTGCGCTGGTGCCTGTGCCCGGGCGGAAGGGTTTCTGTCCGCTGCTTCGCCGTCCTTGCTGGGCCCTGCTCGCGTCTCCGTCATCTCAGGTGGGTGTCCACGGGGCCTTTTTCATTCCGTTTGAGATCTCTCTGGTTCTCAGGGGACTGGTTTTCGGTTGAAACCTGGGCACTTCTGTATTCCATCACGAGACCCTGGATCTCAGTGAACCTGGTTTAACTGGCCTTTCCTGGCACCGCTCTGCTGGGTCGGGTTCCCCACCTGCTGACACCCGAGAGCAGCTCTTGTCCGTCCTGCTGGGCAGGGGCGCGTGGGTTTCAGCTCCCCACGTGGTCCCCAGTGATGGTGGGCAGTTCCCACCTGGCAGGGTCCCCGGAGGTGGGGGCCTCTTTCCAGCCTGTGGGGAAGGGCACCCAGAGGCCCTTGGCCGTGGTGGGCGGGTGCTGTGGTCTGCGCTTTGTGGTGTGGGTGGGAGTGGAGCTGTTTGTGTAGCATGTGCTCAGTTGCTCCTTCCTGCCCTCTGGCCGGGGGAGGGAGGCGCTAGAGTTGGGCCCTGCGCCTGCTGTGTTCCTAAGGATCGGGCACTGAGCCAGACAACCCCGCACATTTCCTTCCTGGGCCCAAGGTCCTGAGTCCTCGGGCTTCTCTCCACCCTCACAGCCTCAGCGGGAAGACTCTCCAGGGTCGTCAGTGGTACTCAGCGGGGATAGGAAAAGTGTCTTGTCCAGTTTCCTGGAAGTGGCTTCTACCCGCCCAGGGTGGCAGCTCCTCCTGTGTGCCCTGGGAGAGGGGCCTGGGGACACCTAAACCCTTGGAGCGATGCGGTTCTTGTTTGTAGAGCGAGGCCCAGCTCCTGCCTGCTCCCGGAGAACTGAGATGCCTGGGCCGGGGTTCAGGCTCCCCTATGCCCACACAGAGCCCTTTATCCATCGGCAACTGCGGTTCTGGAAGGGTCGAGCCCTCTTCACAGGCCCCGGAATCAACACCACTCGACTTCCGTGCTCCTTCGATAGGGAGTGTTATTGAAATTCTGTTATTTAAATTAATTGTTTCCTGGGAAGTTCCCTTTGAGTCTCGATTGTTTTCCTGTTTCCAGGTAGATGTTAGCATTCAAGCCACGGGAGCAGCGTGTGTATAGCTGTGCTCACTGCTACGCGAATATCACACATGTGCTCTCCATGGAGCCTAGGCTGGGCTGGGACCAATCGCAGCCACGAACACAGGGCTTGCACCTGCGGTGGTTTTTAGCTGCTGTAGCCAATGGGACAGACTTGCAATGATTAGGATGTTAGTCCTGGACCAGGTACCGGTGGCCTGGCGGTCCCTGCGGGGCCTCTCCTCTCACTGTTACGCCCTGACGGAGCCCTCAGTGCAGGCTGCCCGCCAAGCGGCGAGGCCAGCTTCCCCGGCAGCTCCCACTTGTCGTGCTGTCAGACTTCAGGGCTAGAATCACGCCGCTGTTTGAATGTTGCCATTTGTACATTTTTAAAAATGTCAGAGTTGCATTTCAAACAAGTATTAAAGAGTGCCCGTGAGGGAGCTTGTGTCTCCTTAGCATGCTTTCATCCAGCCCGGAACGTGTGATCTCAGCAAGTCTGGGCCCCCTTGCATCGCACACATACACACACATACACACAAATGCACTACACATGCATGCGTACACATATGCATGCACACACAAATGCACTACATGTGCATGCACACACATGCATGCACACACATACACACAAATGCACTACATGTGCACGCACGCACATGCATGCACACACATACACACAAATGCACTACACATGCATGCACACACACCCCATCCACATGCGCACACACGCACACAGCATGGAGCTGTCCAGATCTGAAGGTGGCAATGGGTTTTTGCACAGGGCATAAAAATATCTCTGTAATTACATGATATTTAGTGATGAGGTAATTATGGATAATTGCATGGGGTAGTTGTAAGTGCTAACATGTTACCATAAGATCTAAAATGTACAAATTGCATAATAATTATTCCAGGGCGTTATTTGGTAATTTCGGGCGTAATTATCATGCGATCTGCAGCGCGTGTAATTAATGCATAATCACATGGATTTTGCCTCCATCACCACGTCGCCCTTGTTATAAATAAGGCTTTGTCATAACATTTGAGTACAAATATAATGTAACCGGTCCACTGAGCCGCAGGGTGATTGCTTTCCCAGCAACAATGCCCCTCATTTCATCCCAAGTGTGGGCTCTAACCAGCTGGGGCTGCAGAACAAGCCGCCAGGGGTGGCGGTGAGGGGGCAACTGTGCACACGGTGAGACCTTGCCATGACTGCACCCATCCTGTGTAGAAAGTGTTCGGGTCGCTGAAGGAGGAACACACGAGGTGAGGGATTATACATTTATCAGGTCATCTAGCTACCAGATGGGCTGAACCCCAAAATGGCACCAGCACCCAGGGATGGAGAGTCAGAGGTTTTGAAGGATTCTAAGCAGCTTTTTCTGGGCCTAGCATTCTCTGGGCAGGTCCGGACCCTGAGAAGGTCCAGAGGGGAAGGATAATGGTCTGAGCAAGTGGAATGTGGGCTCAGTGAAAGGGAATGTCCGTTCGTCCGTCCGTTGTGAAGTGCTAAAGGCCAGCTCCCAGGGGAGCGTGTGGATTCAATGATTTGATCAGACCTCACAGCAGGTTTGCCTCGCTCACAGAGGGCAGCCCTCCCTTCCCACCGAATGCTCAGCCCGAGTTTCCTGCAGAGCAGAGCGCCTGCTCCCCCGCATCAGTGAGGCGCAGGGGTGCGGAGCCTGGCTTACCTGCTGGGGACAGGGCCCCTCATGACACTGAACAAGGGCTTTGGCTCCACTCCCAAGTTCATATGTGGCTCTGCATCTTCCCCACAGGCTTCGCGTGGCAGGATGACTACACGCAGCACGTGCTGGCCCGGGAGCTGGCCCATGTCCCCCGAACCCACCTGCGACGTCCTGATGCTGCCCACCTGGCCAGGTGAGTCGACTTGGTTGACGTCTCTGCGACCCCACAGCCAGCACCTGTCAAGCCTATTTCTCTTTAATGTAGCACCCTCAGTCTTCCTGGTGTAGAGTTTCCTGAAAGTTTGGGTGTCTATGAGGAAGAGGGGTGCTCCCTTTCTCCACTGTATCAGCCCACGGAGGAGGGTGTGCAGGTGACCCTACTACAAGGTGCCTTTTTCACCGAGGGCAAGCCCAAGGTCCCCCAGCCCTGCCCCCGGCGCCTGAGACCTTTGGAAAAGTCCCGAATCTCCAGAATGAACCTTGGTTGAGAGCAGAGAAATCAAGGATTCTCATTGTTCAGAAACAAGTAGAGTTCACCTTAGTACAAAGAGCTGAATCACCCACAAGTCTTCCTGTTCTCCAAACACAGCGACTATACTGAGTGGATATTTAACTCCAACCCCATTTCCACCCTCTGCTCACTGCCAGGTGATTGTGGAGGTCTTCCCTCATCTGGAGTTGAGACAAGAGAGGGAGCTGAGATGCAGGGAGGGAGCTGAGATGCAGGGAGGGAGCTGAGCCCAAGGAGGGAGCTGAGATACAGGGGGGGGGCCGAGCCCAAGGAGGGAGCTGAGATACAGGGGGGGGGCCGAGCCCAAGGAGGGAGCTGAGATACAGGGGGGGGGCCGAGCCCAAGGAGGGAGCTGAGATACAGGGGGGGGGCCGAGCCCAAGGAGGGAGCTGAGATACAGGGGGGGGGCCGAGCCCAAGGAGGGAGCTGAGATACAGGGGGGGGGCCGAGCCCAAGGAGGGAGCTGAGATACAGGGGGGGGGCCGAGCCCAAGGAGGGAGCTGAGATACAGGGGGGGGGCCGAGCCCAAGGAGGGAGCTGAGATACAGGGGGGGGGCCGAGCCCAAGGAGGGAGCTGAGATACAGGGGGGGGGCCGAGCCCAAGGAGGGAGCTGAGATACAGGGGGGGGGCCGAGCCCAAGGAGGGAGCTGAGATACAGGGGGGGGGCCGAGCCCAAGGAGGGAGCTGAGATACAGGGGGGGGGCCGAGCCCAAGGAGGGAGCTGAGATACAGGGGGGGGGCCGAGCCCAAGGAGGGAGCTGAGATACAGGGGGGGGGCCGAGCCCAAGGAGGGAGCTGAGATACAGGGGGGGGGCCGAGCCCAAGGAGGGAGCTGAGATACAGGGGGGGGGCCGAGCCCAAGGAGGGAGCTGAGATACAGGGGGGGGGCCGAGCCCAAGGAGGGAGCTGAGATACAGGGGGGGGGCCGAGCCCAAGGAGGGAGCTGAGATACAGGGGGGGGGCCGAGCCCAAGGAGGGAGCTGAGATACAGGGGGGGGGCCGAGCCCAAGGAGGGAGCTGAGATACAGGGGGGGGGCCGAGCCCAAGGAGGGAGCTGAGATACAGGGGGGGGGCCGAGCCCAAGGAGGGAGCTGAGATACAGGGGGGGGGCCGAGCCCAAGGAGGGAGCTGAGATACAGGGGGGGGGCCGAGCCCAAGGAGGGAGCTGAGATACAGGGGGGGGGCCGAGCCCAAGGAGGGAGCTGAGATGCAGGGAGGGAGCTGAGATGCAGTGGGTGGAGGACTGAGTCCAACAACAGCCTCAGGGAGGCTTGCTCTCTCCTTGCTGAGCTCGTGCCTGCTCTTCCTGTTGGTGAAAGTAGGCAGGCCCTTCCCTGAAGACTGTGTGGAGTCTGAGTGCTGGAGAGACTCTCCCACACCCACAGCCTCTGCTCGGCAAGCCTGGGAGCGGGAATGTGGTGCCCCATCTGACAGGAAGTAGCCCACGCCACCCAAGAAGTCGGTTTCCAAGTCCCTCGGGGGTGAGCATGAGACCCATACCGAGTGTGGACGTGCAGGAGTTCTCGGTGTCTGTAAGACTTTTCCATTAAAAAATAAAATAAAACGTAGGCCACTCTGTCTTGAATGAGTTCAAACTCTTGACAGTAATCATTAGTTATTTAGTTAGTCCTCACCTGAGGATATTTTTTCCATTGATTTTAGAGAGTGGAAGGGAGGGAGTGGGGGAGACACACAAACACACACACACACACACACACACACACACACACACACCAATTGGGTGATGGTATCAAACCTGCAATGCAGGTATATGCCCTTGACCAGGAATGAAACCCACTACCCTTCGGTATGGGGACTGATACTCCAACCACCAAGTGCAATGGCCAGGGCTTCACACTGGTCTGTAAGTTACATTTGGGCATTTAAACACCAACCACTTCTCTTTCCTTCCTCCTGGAGACTCACCTGTGCAGCATGAACCATCCCAGAAACCTCCACTGCACTGGGAGAAGGGGCTAGATGCAAGAACAGAGGCTGGGGGGCTGGGAGTCCTGCAGGAGCCACTCCTGATGCAGCAAGATAGGGAACGGGTATGATGGAAAAGTACCGCCGAGCAGGGAAAGTACCGCCGACAAGGAAAGTACAGCCAAGGAGGAAAGTACAGCCGAGAGGGAAAGTACAGCCGAGGAGGAAAGTACAGCCGAGGAGGGAAAGTACCACCGAGGAGGAAAGTACCACCGGGGGGGGGGGAAAGTACCGCTGAAGAGGGAAAGTACCACCGAGGGGGAAAGTACCGCCGAGGGGGAAAGTACCGCCGAGGAGGGAAAGTACAGCCGAGGAGGAAAGTACCGCCGAGGAGGGAAAGTACAGCCGAGGAGGAAAGTACAGCCGAGGAGGGAAAGTACCGCCGAGGAGGAAAGTACCGCCGAGGAGGGAAAGTACAGCCGAGGAGGAAAGTACAGCCGAGGAGGGAAAGTACCGCCGAGGAGGAAAGTACCGCCGAGGAGGGAAAGTACAGCCGAGGAGGAAAGTACAGCCGAGGAGGGAAAGTACCGCCGAGGAGGAAAGTACCGCCGAGGAGGGAAAGTACAGCCGAGGAGGAAAGTACAGCCGAGGAGGGAAAGTACCGCCGAGGAGGAAAGTACCGCCGAGGAGGGAAAGTACAGCCGAGGAGGAAAGTACAGCCGAGGAGGGAAAGTACCGCCGAGGAGGAAAGTACCGCCGAGGAGGGAAAGTACAGCCGAGGAGGAAAGTACAGCCGAGGAGGGAAAGTACCGCCGAGGAGGAAAGTACCGCCGAGGAGGGAAAGTACAGCCGAGGAGGAAAGTACAGCCGAGGAGGGAAAGTACCGCCGAGGAGGAAAGTACCGCCGAGGAGGGAAAGTACAGCCGAGGAGGAAAGTACAGCCGAGGAGGGAAAGTACCGCCGAGGAGGAAAGTACCGCCGAGGAGGGAAAGTACAGCCGAGGAGGAAAGTACAGCCGAGGAGGGAAAGTACCGCCGAGGAGGAAAGTACCGCCGAGGAGGGAAAGTACAGCCGAGGAGGAAAGTACAGCCGAGGAGGGAAAGTACCGCCGAGGAGGAAAGTACCGCCGAGGAGGGAAAGTACAGCCGAGGAGGAAAGTACAGCCGAGGAGGGAAAGTACCGCCGAGGAGGAAAGTACCGCCGAGGAGGGAAAGTACAGCCGAGGAGGAAAGTACAGCCGAGGAGGGAAAGTACAGCCGTGGAGGAAAGTACAGCCGTGGAGGAAAACACCGCCGAGGGGGAAAGTACAGCCGAGGAAGGAAAGTACAGCCGTGGAGGAAAGTACCGCCGAGGGGGAAAGTACCGCCGAGGAGGGAAAGTACAGCCGAGGAGGGAAAGTACAGCCGTGGAGGAAAGTACCGCCGAGGGGGAAAGTACCGCCGAGGGGGGAAAGTAC